AAACTTTACCCATTGTCTAGTACTCCATTGCTGTTGTGCTTTATTTCATTTAAAAACTTTAAACATGAAATCATCGTGCCAGTCGACTGAGTAAAGAGAAAAATAAAAAATGTGCTGTCACTGCTCGGATACTGTATTTCAAAGGCCAAAATCTATTGTAATGTAAAAGATAAGGATATGTAACTAGAGCAATAGTTTAAAGAAAACAACTTTCTCGCAGAGCAGTTAATTAGAAAAGAGACAGTGTGTGTGTTAGGGGAAGTGGGAAAAGCGAGTAAGAAAAGGTGAAGATGACAATCACAGGGCCTTAATCTCCCCGCCCCCCAGGTCCCAAAAAGTAACTAAGTCACTGTGGATCAACGCCAAAGCCAACTGGAGAAGTGGCCCAACCGGATCTTGAGAGGGGATGACAGGAGACCCTAGGAGAGGGGGAGGGGAAACGGTGACAGGAGAGGGGGCGGTAGAGAGATGGCATGCCTTCCAACCCAGAAAAAGGGAAAAATCCGGGGGCAAGGAACAGAGAAGGGAAAGCAGGAAATGTTACGGAAGGTGCAAGTGAAGTGACAAGGAACAGGTTAGGAAACATTAAGAAAGGCGGGACCCTTGGGCAGGAAGGGGCAGGGGAGGCACGTCAGTACAGAGCTTTCCTGCCAGCTGACCCGGCTTCCCTCCCTCTGACAAACCCTCACTTCTCCACAACCCTAATCTCGCGGGTCACCCCCGTCCCGCTCCCCCACCCCCCACCCCAAACCGGATAGGTGGAGGGAGAAGCTTCCCCCTCAACCTCCTTCTTGGGCTGGAAAAGCGAGCACCGAACACAGCCCAGACTAAAAGACGAGATAGCCAAGAGACGCAGGGAGGCCCTGGGCCGGGGGTGACAAGACCGGAGCCTCACCTGACAGAAGCGTCGGCAGTAATCCCGACTGCTGATCCCGACGCCGCCACCACCGCAGCTGCCGCTGCCAACGCCGCCTCCGCCGTCGCCCGCAGCTCTAAGCCCCTCAGGCCCCGGCGGGGACTCTACAATGGCCACGAGCTCTTCACCGAGGCGTTCGGCCTCCTGGTCGCTCTCTTCCTCCGCCATGAGGCTCTCGCCGCCCAGCGCGTACCAGCCCCTGCGCCGCTGCCGCTGTAGCTGCCTCGGCTAACCTCCTCCTCCTCTAGTTCCCTCCTCCTTCTCACCCCCCTCCGCCGGACAGGGGCCTCTCAACCAGGGTCTACTTCCGGCTCCGCCCACGCACGCCCCCAGTTTTTATTGGCAAAATGTAGCCGCCAGTCACATGTATGCCCGCCCTACCACTACTATTGGATAAATTAACCGTCTATTTGCTAGGCACGCTGTCCGTTGGTCAATACTACTCGGCGGTTGCTGGGGGCCGCCTACCGGGCTCTGCCATAGGCGGTGCAGGAGGACGGGGCGCGGCGGGGGACAAGGCGGCCGCCGCGGGGCTCGATCGGGCAACGGTGTCGACGACGGCGGTAGCAGCGGTGGCGACTAGTCCTCCTCCTCCTCCTTCGTCCTTTTGCTCATCTTCCTTTCTTTTCAGGCTGTGTCTCCACTTCCCCTAGCTGCAACCCCGAGCCTACGGTACCAAGGAGCTGGGGAGGCCGAGGGTGGGCCCGGCCGTTGGTGAGGGCTATGGGCCCCGGGCCTTCCGTCCCGAAGCAGGAGCTGGGGGCGGGGCTGGGCCACCGTTGTCGGCGGGAGGAAGAGGGAGGAGACGGGAAGCCTGACAGCGGCTGCCTCCGCCTGGCGCCTACTCTCCTGAGACTATCGCCAACTCCGCTGTCGAGGTCCCGGGCCCAGGGCAACTGGGATTCGGCCCTGCCCAGCTAGCGGGGCCGGGGTGGTGGGGCCTCGGCGTGCTGCGTTCTTCGCGGGAGGAGGGAGTCCAGGCACTCGGGAATGCTCCGCGCCCCGCCTTTCCCTCCCCCTGTTCGAACCACAGGGCCTGGGGAGAGCGAGGAGGTGCAGAGCGGGGAAGACAACCTCAGAGGGACTTTGGTTGGGATCGAGGTTGTGGGGTAATTTTTGCGATCCGGGTTTGTGGTGTGGAGCTATCTATCCAGAGCGGTTTTAGAGACACCTGCTTGGTGGTGGTGATTGAAGTTCTTGTTCATATTTTCATCCACCCTTCTTTTCCTCCTTCCCCTTCCCCCATTTTATTCTTTCCGTTTGTTTTTTGTGTTTTACAGTAAAGGCATGACTTTCCGGTACCGCAGGGAAAATAGGGTGCAAGCCCAGAAACTATTTCCCCACCACCACTTGTTGAAAAACTGATTTAGAGGCATCTCCGGGTTTGAACAAACGGAAAGTGCTAGGATTTGATGCGCCTCTGGTTTTGCGTTGGAGACCCTTCACTACTAAGTATCAAGACGAAAAGAACTGGAAACTAATCCGGTAAACATTTAAAAAGTTTTGATGAGTTTTGTTTTGATCCAGTGAGATTGGTTTCTTCTCTTTTGTTAGCTAATTCTAGTTCTTAACTTTTTAACTTCCTTGTTTATTATTATTATTTTTTAATCTTTTATTTTCTGTTGAAAACACTTTTGTTTTTTGAGTCTGTAAACTCGAGTATCTTCTGCTGGGGTGGATTATTGCCTCTGCATTAACACAAACAGACTTTTTGAAAGTTAGAAGACATTAGTATGTACAGACCTTTCACATTAGTACAGGAGATTGAGCATTTTACATGTCAAGGAATTGTGTACTTGTTGTTTCATAGTTTAAAATCTAAATTTTTAAAGGCAGAAGGCTTTTCAAAAACAGAGAGTAAGACATATTATTGGGCATAAACATTTAATATTTTCCTTAAGTAGCTTAGAGTCATTTATCATAATTGGTACAATTATGTGCAGTAGTAATTCACTACTAGACAGGAATCATATTTGTCTTACCTGATACTGTAAATCCGTGGTTTAACATATTATTTGGCATATGAGAGCCAGACAATGAAAATAAATCTGGCCGGGGGCGATGCAGTTGGGAGAAGCCTGATGAAGGAGACAGAAAATAAATCTGGCCGGGGGGGGGGGAATAGAATGCAACCTAAAATATCTGCATGTATCCGTAACTATTGGCAATTTAAAGTTTTTTGAGAGAGATTTTAGGTTAAAAACAAACCCATTGGTGGTCTAGTCATTTCCCAATTATGGCAACACAGTGTGTTAACAAGGTAGACTTCCATGAGGTTTCGTTGGTATAATTTTTACAGCAGATCACCAGGCCTTCCTTCCCTGGCACCACTGGGTACTCAACCAACCTTTATACTTAGTTATTCTCCAGCATGGATTAACATTTCTGATTACATTTATAAAGTGATTCTGATTACTCTTATAAAGTGCAATTCTTCAGAGCATGCAATGGCAGTGTATACAAAACAATTCCATCTTGAATTCTGTCAAATGCATTTTAATTTCTTAAATCTAGATTAACTTAATTATTTATAAGCACGTAGCCTGAAATCATTGTGCTAGGGACACAAGTAGTGATTTTGAGCACTGAGCACAGACTAACGTGTTTATTCTCAATTTCTCAGTTCCTGTAACATGATTTTAGCAGTTAGTCCTATAAAAATAAAAGTTTGCTGTTAGGATAAATTCAGAAATTATTAAGCTGATTCTGAGTTAACTAAAAATTAGACAAATGGTAAACATTCTTATTTCTTTGAGCAACATGTTTTAATTGAGCATTTATTGTATGTTAGGCACTATGAAATTCTTGGGTTTGTTCTAATTTGCTAGTAATAGGTGAAATAAATATTAAAAATATAATTAAGAATACTTAATTGAAAAAATAAACATAAAAACTATTAAGAAAAAAGAACTTTCCATATCTTGATTATTACCTTTTAGAAAACTTAGGAGAGGTATACATATATTTAAAAAAGGTCCTTTTGAGTCTTTTTTTTTTTTTTTACTTTAAAATTTAAATGTGTTTGGTGTAGTTTTATTTTAGTTTTACTTTTTTGTCCTCACAACAGTTTTGAAACTTTTGTTCTTTTTTGTATGTAATATGCCAACTTTGTATATTATTTAGCATGTTGTTGCTGTTGTTAGGTGCCATAAAGTCTGCTTCGACTCATAGCGACCCTATGTTTAACAGAAAGAAACACTGCCTCGTCCTGCACCATCCTCAATCCTTGAGCCCATTGTTGCAGCTACTATGTCAATCCATCTCATAGAGAGCCTTCCCCTTTTTCGTTGACCCTCCATTTTACCAAACTTAATAGAAATCCCTCTTCAGAGAGTGGTCCCTTCTGACTATATGACCAAAATAGGTGAGATGAATTTTGGCCATTCTCACTTCCAGGGAGCATTCTGGCTGCACTTCTTCCCAGACAGATTTGTTCATTCTCCTGGTACTCCATGGTACTTTGCATATTCTTCCCTAACACCACAACTCAAAAGCTTCAACTCTTCTTCAGTCTTTCTTATTCATTGTTCAGCTTTCACATGCATATGAGGTGACAAACTGACACAAGAGTGGTAGAATATCTAGCTTACGTTTAGCATATTCGTCTGAAGGAACTTTGTGCACATTTTGTTCCTAAAATCAGTTGTCCCAGAATTGTGAAGGGAGGGAACCTTTTTAAAACTTGTAGGTCTGTTTAAATCCAGCAGATAAGTGTACTTACCAGCTCAAATGTTAATCCATGGTTAGGTTTTCCTTAAAGTAACGTCTGGGATCATTTGATTTCTTTATTCGTAATACTAATTTGTTTGAATTCCATAAAAATTAATTAATGGGCCTAGTTGTTATTTTAATAGTAACTTGATCTGATTTTTGCCTTCCCTTACGCATTCCAGTATAGTTATAACTTAATAGACACAAATTCTACTAACTTGAATTAAGATTATTGAAGTCTGTAAATTTATTGAAGTCTTTAATCATAAATTTTGATATCTGCATTTTATTGTTAATTACTTCTATCAGGAACTATTGTTATAACATTTATTTATATTTCTCTTGTCTTGAAAGATCCTTATTCAAAGTGAATATGGAACGATTTGTAGTAACAGCACCACCTGCTCGAAACCGTTCTAAGACTGCTTTGTATGTGACTCCCCTGGATCGAGTCACCGAGTTTGGAGGTGAGCTGCATGAAGATGGAGGAAAACTCTTCTGCACTTCTTGTAATGTGGTGTTGAATCATGTTCGCAAGTCTGCCATTAGTGACCACCTCAAGTCCAAGACTCATACCAAGAGGAAGGCAGAATTTGAAGAGCAGAATGTGAGAAAGAAGCAGAGGCCCCTAACTGCATCTCTTCAATGCAACAGTACTGCGCAAACAGAGAAAGTCAGTGTTATCCAGGACTTTGTGAAAATGTGCCTGGAAGCCAACATCCCACTTGAGAAGGCTGATCACCCAGCAGTCCGTGCTTTCCTGTCTCGTCATGTGAAGAATGGAGGCGCCATACCTAAGTCAGACCAGCTGAGGAGAGCATATCTGCCTGATGGGTATGAGAATGAGAATCAGCTCCTCAACTCACAAGATTGTTGACAAGGAGGTTACCACCATTGTGATCAAGATAAATAATGTGGAGTATTAAAGTTATGTGTTGATTGTGTGGCTCATTTTTATATTTATTTCATTAAAATCATGTGATGCAGAGTAGTTTTGCAATGTGTATATAGCTGCAGGGGAAAAAAAAAACCTCACTGCAAAACTCATTGTTAATTTTAGTCACCAATGATATAAAGTAAATTTTGGTTTAGAATGTGCTAGAATACCTGAAACCTGATGGTTATCTTTAAAATTGATGGTTTTTCTCCTAAAATGTGTGCATTGAAGAACTGCCCTGCTATTTTACTCTGTTGCCATGTATTCCTTGTGAGGTTACTTAATTATTCTGATTGAAGATTAGAGTAGGAAATTGAAGCTGCTGCCAGGCAACACCACTCTCGGTAACTTAAAGGAATTAATTTCCTATTAAAGGATCCTCTTCAAAATGGAAGGGGTGGTAGGAAACATCTTGTATCTTCAGATCCCAAGCAAAAATGACTTTATCTATTTCAAGCTATGCTTTTCTTGTATAATGTTAACTATCCTTCATTTCTAGGCTGTTTTTTTTCCCCCTTTTTAAAAGCTTAATGTATTTAGTAGCAGCTTCAAGTGACCAAAACCCTAAAATATTCCTTAATGTCAATGCCAAAAACCTTGGGAATTTTTGCAGTGATAAGATTTTAGTCTCAACGACAAACAAATTTTTAACCATGCCTTTTATTTTAAGCATCATCTTGGATTTCCAAACCTTTTTTTTAATGTCTTCATATTAAAAGAATCCAAGATTGGCAAGGTAGACATTTTATGGTTGAGTTTCTTGTTTTTACAGAGAATTCATAAATAGCTTTTGGCTGACAGGTCAGATAATAATATGGAAATTGCTTTCTATACATTAATTTTTCCAGATGATTTTATAAGAGCTTACTTAGGTAAATAGATGAGGAGCAATTTACTTAATATCATTCTTAACTGATTTCTTCTGGTGTTACAAGGTTTTGAAACGTGGATGGTAAATAACTGGAAATTCTGGCAAGATTTTTATACTAAAGATCTGGCAGTATTATGCATAACTGGGAAGGAAAAATAATCACTTCTGATATCATTGCTGCTTGGGAGGTGTAGTCATGTTCAGGAAAAGGTCAGCCATGTTCAGGAAATAATCTCGCTGAACCTCACTACCCTGTAAGTTTATCAGAGTAGCTTAGTCCGGCTAAATCCTCTCCATTGGCCCTAAGTTATATTTTTTAAAATGTTAAATAGCAAAAAACTTGGATTAGAGCTTTAAGAAAAAATTAGTTCTTTGAAACTATTCACATTGAAAATACTTATAAAATATATTTCTATTACAAAGCACTGAAATAATTCCCTATATGACTTGGAGTTATCTTTGAAGTCATTTTACTATAAAAGTTCATTTTAACAAAAGCCAAAGTCAATAGGAAAAAGGTAAGGTTTTATATTTTTGGGGAATAATTTTCCATATTGAAATTTCTTTTACAGATTTAAATTCCTAGTTTATGTTGTCAAAGTGGCCATCTCATTTTGGATTTTATGGTTCCTTTTTAACTTGATAAGCCTGCCACCAAGAAGAGAAAAAGCACTTGTTAAAAGTTGGACAGCCATTTTTTTTCCTCATTCCCAGTTACATTAAAGTCACATAATGCCAGTGACAGTACATACATGAAGCCAGCAGCAAAACAACTAAAATGTCCTTTGCTTTTACTTCCTCTAGAAATTTACAGGCTGGTACATTTAATTTGAATTATCTAAGATGGTAAAACATGAAAATCTAAGAAGTTAATAAATGTGTTACATAATTTTCAGAGTACAAATTTAAGGTTAGGTATACAGTCATTCTAAATTTTCTAAATTATGTGTAATTCAGGTAGCCCTCTACTATTTAAGTATTAATTTGCATTGACAGCAAACTGGCACAACAGCTTTTGAGTAGTCCTATGCAATAAACTGGATGATGTTGCAGTGCAAAAATGGCATCAGCATTTCATATGAGTTTATTATTACTGATTTGGTATCATTTACATTTTCTATATATTTTCCAGGCTCCTATTATGTATTATCTAGGGACTTCTGTTAGGATTATGCCTTAGAAGCCTTTTCCATCCAGCTGTGGGAGTTTAATACTAATGTTTATTGATTATGAAACTTATTCCCTGAAACAGGTAACTTCTGCTTTGTAGTTAAGAAATACATGGGCAGAATGATTGTTTTCACCTTTTCAAACTTGTACAAATCCGTGAAACCATGGTTGGCATATGTTAGATAAAAATGGAAATGTCTAAGAGGCATATGCTACTTTAGAGGTGTAGTGAACGTTGTGTACAGAAGCTTTCAATCTTAACTATAGTGTTAGTGTGATGCTATGCTATTGGAAAAATAGCATTCTTTTTTCTATAAGTTGTATGCATAAACATAAGATTTGTAATGTTTCATATATAAACTGCCTTCAGCACACGCTTACCTGTTAATAGTGTTTGCTCAAAGTATGATAGTATGTCTTCCAGAATTTCACTATATGCTTACAGTAAATAGTTCCTAGATTGTTGAGATGTTAAATTTCTTTTTGGATTCTTGATTCTGTGGGGCATTTAGCAAGCCAAAAGGACACTGTAATCATTTTTCACAGGGTGAAAATTTAGAAGGATTGTGTATGAGAGCCTGTATTGTTATTTGTCCATTATCTTTGAGTGAGACTTTTTTTTAAATTAAAAAAAACAAAAAACTCTGCTACTTCAAGGTCATACATTTGGCCCTGCTGAATTTTAAAAGACCAGAAAACTTTAAAGAAAAAATTTTGCATTTTATCATAACCAATTACACTTCAGTTGGGGAATTGTTCTAAAGTATTGATTGCTTAGAAACTATTCTTGTAACAGTTGGCAAGATCTTCAGGCACACAGTTCCAAGTGAAAAATTTTGCCTGAAGTAATTTATATGTGAATGTTAACGGAAAAAACAATTTAAGGTGGCCTAAAACTAAAGCCACACACTTTTGTCATTTGGTGCTTAGTTTTTGTAAGGGCTCTCTGGTTTGATTTGCCCCAACTGATCACCTTAAAACATGATCATCTGAATCATTAAATAGATTAGCTCTATAATTTTATTGAAAATTGTATTAGTCTAAAATAAATTGATTTAGCTTCTGATCAGCACTGATTAAAATGTGAATAGTGAAGTGGCTATCCTACACCTTGGTTTTTCTCGTCCCATACTATCATAGGTTTCTGAGGTAAATACAGTTCTTATCTGGTGTTACTCTACTTGTATCCAGAATACTGTACTAATTAATAATTTACTTTTTTTTTATTCTTGTGCTTATTTTCTTTGCTCACGCATGTATCCTTAGTATAAATATGTCGCTTTTAAAATTTTGTCTCTGTGACTTTTAGAAATAAATTTCAAAAAAAAGAAAACAACTAGTTTCAGAAGTTTTTCAGAATACATTTTATTATTTTGGGAGTCAATAACAAATAAATGTCTTAATTCCAAGAGGTCAACCAAACTTTACTGAGTTTTATTTTTTCTACTAGATATGTTCCCCTTTCATAGGAATATTAGTCCTTATGCCCAATGTAAAAGCATATATTCCGTCAAATCAAATGGTCCATATTCCAAAAGGTTCTTTATATAGGTAATATTAAGCTAAGTCACTACTTTTAAATGAAAACATTTTAATTTTCTACTTGTAGAAACATTAATTATGAAAGAAAAGGCCCTTTTTATATTTCATAAGGTTTACTGAGTTTTTGAAGGATTTGCTATATTCTTATTTGCTGCAGTGCCTAAGGTATTTGACTACTAACCAGAATAATGGTAATTCAAACCTACTGGCCACCCCGCAGAAGAGAGATGGAGCAATCTACTTTGGTAAAGATTACCCCCTAGGAAACCCAACAGGAGTCCCTATGAGTTGGAGTTGACTTGATGGCAGTGAGTTTGTTTTGTTATATTTGCCACTTAAGACCAAAAAAATGTAAAGAAACTGAAAATTGTTTTGACTTTTAATAAATTTATGAGTTTTGAGGGAAAATAGTCTATTCACTTCTCCTTGTCAAGATAAATTAATTTACAAAGTGATAGCTTTAATTTTTCCTGAAATTAAGAGAAAGGACCTTTCGATATCAGTCAATACATATGTTAACAATTTAAGATCTCCAAACCATCAGAGATGTCTTCACTTTTGCTATCACAAACTTTATTCATAAAATGTAACCAATTGGATGTATGTGCCTCTGAATCTCATAATTAATAGTTTCTCATGTGTAAACTGAGTCATATTTGTATCTATAATAAAATATTTTATGTAAGGATGTTCCAAGATCAGAATGTGAAAAACTAGGAAGTAAATTAGAACTGGTAGCATAGTGCCTAAGGCACTTGGCTGCTAACCAGAAAGCTGGCTGTTCAAACCCACCAGCCACTCCTCAGAAGGAAGGTTGGGCAATCTACTTCTGTAGTGATACTGCCTCGGCAACCCAAGGAGGGGTCGCTATGAATCCGACAACAATGTGATGTGATCCGTTTGTTACGTATGGCATGACATCCAACGGATTACCCCTCCAATATATAATTTGATTGCAGTTGTTTTACATGCAAACTATTTGCTAATGCTACTTAGCTCTGTCTTGTTCAGATATTGATATCATCATTTAAAAGTCCATGTCCTTAAGATTTGATTAAAATTGAAAAGCATGCATTCAGCTACTACTTATTGGGTCCCTACCCTGTGCCAAAGGAGTTCTCATGGTGCAGTAGTTAAAGCATTCAGCTGCTAACCAAAGGGTTGGCAGTTCAAATGCACCAGCTGCTCCATGGGCCAAAGATGCAATCTGCTTCTATAAAGATGTATAGCCTTGGAGCCCCTATGGGGCAATTCTGCTCTGTGCTATATGGTCACTAAGAGTTGGAGTCAACTTGATGGTAGTGGGTTTGGTTTGGACCCTGTGCCAGATACTACACTAGCCAGCTACTGGGGACCA